TGCTGAACTTTGCACTTGGGTTGTTGCTCATTTAAATACATGCTCGGCCAGCACACCAGGGGTCTGTGATGGCCTGGCGTGATTCTTGTAAAGGTAAAGGTAAACGTTTCCCTTGCTCGAAAGCCAGTCGAGTCCGACCCTAGGGTTGCGGTGCTAGGGTTGCCGAGTCCATCTTCCACCCCCAGCGGGGGACTTTGGGGGCGTTCCTAGAGGGGGCGGGGCATCCCCAACGTGGTGACATCACATTGGGGACGTCTGCCCCCCCCCCCACCGCCCATGCGCCGGATCTCCAGAAACGGCCGTTCCCTGTACTTAAAGTAGCCGGCAGCCGGCGTTTCCCCTTTAAGAGCAGCTGCGTTTCCCTTTTAAGAACGAAGCTGGTTTTTCCCTGCAAGCTTGCGGAGTTCACGCTTGGGATGAAACACGGGTTCCACACACTTAAAGGGAGAGAGAGGGGTGGGTGTGGGTGTTGGGGGTGAGGCTTCCCCCGCCAGCCATCTGGCAGGTAGAAACCCCCCAAAAAAACAGGAGACCCCTGGCAAACCGGGGGGGGGGGGTTGGCAACCCTATCCGCTACTCACCAGATGTAGACAAAGAGGGCGAATACGGGGGCCGACCCAGCCACCTGCAGCAGCCTCCAGTCACGGATAGCGTAGGCTAAGCCGGCCAGGATCATCTGCCCCACGGCGAAGCCCACGTGGGTGACAATGACCGTGTGCGGACGGTAGGCGACCCCGACCCATTCGGTACCTAAAGGGGATGAGAACAAAGGGGATTGTAAATCCCGGGACAATCATAGGAGCACCACCGTAGAAGCAGAAGCAGTCAGAGGACTACGAGTTAGAGCTATCGAAGCCGAGAAACAACGCTACGGATTCCAGTCCTTTGGAGTTTCAGAACTGGAAAGAGCAGAGCTGTGCATTTCCAGATGTACATTTAAATTCTGAGATTTCGTCTCCCTGAAAGCACAGAGTGTGGTTATTTACGCTCTAAGGGGCGGCCAGATTAGAGTCCGGGAACACCTTAGACACGACAAGGTTTTTTGAGGTAGGAGCTTTCAAGACTCAAAGCTCCCTTCATAATGAAGAAGAAGAACAGCTGGTTTCTACACCCCATTTTTCTCTACCCTGAAGGAGTCTCAAAGCGGTTTACAACCGCCTTTCCCTTCCTCTCCCCACAGCAGGCACCTTGTGAGGCAGGTGGGGCTGAGAGAGCCCTGAGAGAAAAACTGGGCCTGGCCCACGGTCACCTGGCAGGCCTCATGTAGCTCAAAGCAGCTTACAATTGCCTTCCCTTCCCCTCCCCACAACAGGCACCTTGTGAGGCAGGTGGGGCTGAGAGAGTTTTTTTCGGTTGTGCCCATCACACAGTGTTAGAATCCCAAAGGTGCCCACAGGCTCAAAAGAGTTGGAGATCTGCTGACCGAAAGTGCGTTATCTTCGGAAAGGAGAATTTCCGTTAGCAGTTCGTTATCTTCGCAGCAACCCCGTGAGGGAGGTTAGGCCGCGGGTATGTGACCGGCCCAAGGTCGCCCAGCAAGATTCCGTGGCAGAGTGGCGATTCGAACCCGGGACTGCAGATCCTAGTTGAGCACTCCAACCACTACACCGCGCTGATGCTGAATCTATCTCAGTTGTCTGCTAGTGTACAGGCAACCTCTGTGTCTTCCTCAGTGGCGCAAATACTAGTTTCAGGTGGGCCATTCAAACGTAGGAATTTTTTCAATTGTAAAAAGAAGAAGAGCTGGTTTTTATACCCCGATTTCCTCTGCCCTTAGGAGTCTTTAAAGTGGCTTACAATCGCCTTCCCTTCCTCGTCCCACAACAGGAACCTTGTGAGCAGTGTTCCCTCTAAGCTGAGTGAGTGTGAGCTAGCTCACAGTTTTTTAGCTTCCGGCTCACACATTTTTGTCTAAGCTCAGAAAAAATGGCTCCAGAGCAAACTAATTTATGCGGCAGCCAAATGGCTTGCTCACAACTTTAATGTCTGTAGCTCACAAAGAAGAATTGTTGCTCACAAGACTCCACAACTTAGAGGGAGCATTGCTCGTGAGGCAGGTGGGACTGAGAGAGTCCTGAGAGAACTGGGACTGGCCTCATATGTCTCAGAGCAGCTTACAATCTCCTTCCTTTCCTCTCTCCACAAGAGGATTTCCTCTCCTTACCCAGCAGAGTGTGGAATCAAACCCAGCTCTCCAGATTAGAATCCGCCACTCTTAACCACTACACCACACTGGCAAGGGAGCTTGAGTCTCAAAAAGCCTATACCGCCCAAAATGTTGTTGGTCTACATGACTCAAATCTAGCTCTTTTACTGCAGACCGGCATGGCCTGCCCTCTGAAACAACATTCTATGGGGGTAGCTGTGATAGTCTGCTGAAGCCAAATTAACAAAGAAACGTGTGTCACCTTAAAGAACTCCAAGGAAGACTCTGCAGAAAAAGGTGATGGCCAGCCCCCTCTGCATCTCACTTGCCTTGAGAGCCCTTTGCTTGGGTGGCATAAGTCTGGGATGGGAGACCACCAGGGAAGGCTCTGCAGAGGAAGGCCATGGCCAACCACCTCTGCTTCTCACTTGCCTTGAAAGCCCCTTGCTGGCGTCTCCCTAACTCTTGGATGGGAGCCCACCAAGGAAGATTCTGCAGAGGAAGGCCATGGCCAACCACCTCTGCTTCTCCCTTGCCTTGAAAGCCCCTTGCTGGGGTCGCCACAAGTCTTGGATGGGAGACCACCAAGGGAGACTCTGCAGAGGAAGGCCATGGCCAACCCCCTCTGCTTCTCACTTGCCTTGAAAGCCCCTTGCTGGGATCGCCATAAGTCTTGGATGGGAGCCCACCAAGGGAGACTCTGCAGAGGAAGGCCATGGCCAACCACCTCTGCTTCTCACTTGCCTTGAAAGCCCCTTGCTGGGGTCGTCACAAGCCTTGGATGGGAGCCCACCAAGGAAGACTCTGCAGAGGAAGGCCATGCTTCTCAATCTGCTTTTCAATCACCTTGAAAGCTCCTCGCTGGGGTTGTCGTAGGTCAGCTCCCCTCCTACAAAACCTCCTTGGGTTCCACCTCCCAAGTTTCCAGGTATTTTCCAACCGGGCGCTGTTAACCCTTGCTGCACAGCCCTTTTCTGATCATTATTGACCCCCCACAAACACACACATTTTAGCATTCTTTTGAGCAGAAATGGGGGGCCAGTTTTTAAAAAATGGTTGCACTCAGTTTACACGCTCCAAAAGGCAGCCCGGGACACGCGGTTGCAGAGCTGATAGATGCCTTGTGCAGAACGCTGATTTGACAAGCGATTTCCATATCTTTGTGCTTAACGCAGCACCAGCAGCACCTGGAAATGTTCCAGCCAGACGCACATTAGAGTCTACATCAGTGATTCTTAACAGGGGCCATATGCTGCCCCTTTCCCTGGAGGTGACCGACAAACCTTGAGAGGCTCTCGGGATGCAAAGCAGCAGCTTTCCTCCACCTGCAACAGCTTCTAGCAGCCAGCAGAAAAGAACTGTTTTATCCCGGTTGCCCTGGGATTCCTCCCTTGAGCACTTAAAAAGGTGCGCTCAGCAAAAAGGAATCAAGGAGTTGGCTGAGTGCTGTCAAGCATGGTTCTCATTGAGTGACGTTGTGCATCGTACATGTATGTATGCAGGTGACATTTCGTAGAAAAAGAGGGGCAGGAGATCATTAGCATAACTCATTGGCATAACTTATTTGCATATGCCACACACCGCCGACATCACTGGAAGTGTGTCAGAAGGCAACACCCACCGCTCAGGCTCCGCTGGACTGTTTTGGATTGCTAACAATTGGGGGGGGGGGCACGCAGATCTGTCCTCACAGAGGAGGGAGAGCTTGTACCTGAATAAAACTTGGTCTTAAAGGTGCCACTGGACTGTTTTGGGCCGGGGGGGCTCTGCAACTTACCTGGCTGCTTCTTGCTCTGACTGAAGGCTGCTGGGAACAGGGGGCGGGGCTTGTTGCATGTGCCCGCCCCCGGGCCCTTTACTGCCGGAACTCCGCTCCTGCGCGCTCCTGCAGGAAATGACCCCTGTGTGTATGTGTATGAAGTGTTGTCAAGTCACAGCTGACTTATGACGATCCCACGGGGAGTTCAAGGCAAGAGACGTGCAGAGGTGGTTTGCCATTGCCTGCCTCTGCGTAACGACCCTGGTATCTCTTGGAGGTCATCCTCCCAAATACTAGCCAGGGCCGACCTTGCTTAGCTTCTGAGAGTTCACGCGATCAGTCCACCCTGGGCCATCCAGATCAGGGCAGAGGTGATTTTGCCATCGTCTGTGTAGCAACCCTGGACTTCCTTGGTGGTCTGCCATCCCAATAGTAACCAGGGCCGATCGTGCTTAGCTCCCGAGATCAGGCCAGCCTAGGACATATATGTACATCATACATGCAGGGCTATTTTTGGGCAGGAACGCACAGGAACGGAGTTCCGGCTGGCTCCCGAGTTGGCCACGCCCAGCAGGAACTCATTAGCATAATAGGCCACACCCAATGGCAGAAACCCATTAGGATTGGCTACATTAGGGGTGTGTGGCCTAACATGCAAAGGAGTGCCTGCTACAAAAAAAGGCCCTGGGTTTTGACAACAAACAAGGTAAACAGAATAAGAAGCAAAAGGTGGGTGTGGCTGGATGACCACACTTCTGGTAACTTGGGGTGTGGCCTAATAGGCTAATGTGATGTGTTATCAGGGTGTGGCCTAATATGCTAATGAGTTTCTGCTGTTGGGTGTGGCCTATTATGCTAATGAGTTCCTACTGGGCTTTTTCTACAAAAAAAGCCCTGCATACATGTCTGATGTACCTCATCAATCTACCTTGTCTAGAGTGCTCTTCCTACGTTCTAACTTTTGTAGCTTGAATGGACATTCAAATGATAATGTTGCATACTCGTCGGCCGGCAGTGAATTTAAAGGTAAGAACCGCTGGGTCACATCCTGCCATTAAGATGTTCCTAGCAATGGAAAGCAGCCTTGCATGTCAAACATAAGAGCATCAGAAGAGCCCTGCTGGATCAATCCAAGGGGTCCATCTAGTCCAGCATTCTGCCTCACACAGTGGCCAACCAGTTCCTCTGGAGGGCCAACAACAGAGAATAGAGACTGAGGCCTTCCCCTGATAAGAACACCAGAAGAGTCCTGCTGGATCAGACCAGGGGTCCATCTAGTCCAGCATCGTGTCTCACACAGGGGCCGACCAGTTCCTCTGGAGGGCCAACAACAGGGCATAGAGGCCAAGGCTTTCCCTTAATGAGAACATCAGAAGAGCCCTGCTGGATCAATCCAGTGGTCCATCTAGTCCAGCATTCTGCCTCACACAGTGGTCGAACAACAGGGCATAGAGAATAAGGTCATATCCTGATATGGACATCAGAAGAGCCCCGCTGGATAAGACCACTGGACCATCTAGTCCAGCATCCTGTTTCACACAGTGGCCAACCAGTTCCTTTGGGAGGCCAACAACAGGGCACAGCTGCCGAGGCCTTCCCCTCATAGGAACAACATAGGAACAACAGCACGGCAGAGAGGCCGAGGCCTTCGCCTGAAAAGAACCTAAGAAGAGCCCTGCTGGATCAATCCAGTGGTCCATCTAGTCCAGCATCTTGGCTCACACAGTGGCCAACCAGTTCCTTTGGGAGGCCAACAACAGGGCACAGCTGCCGAGGCCTTCCCCTCATAGGAACAACATAGGAACAACAGCACGGCAGAGAGGCCGAGGCCTTCGCCTGAAAAGAACCTAAGAAGAGCCCTGCTGGATCAATCCAGTGGTCCATCTAGTCCAGCATCTTGGCTCACACAGTGGCCAACCAGTTCCTTTGGGAGGCCAACAACAGGGCACAGCTGCCGAGGCCTTCCCCTCATAGGAACAACATAGGAACAACAGCACGGCAGAGAGGCCGAGGCCTTCGCCTGAAAAGAACCTAAGAAGAGCCCTGCTGGATCAGACTGGTAGTCCACCTAGTCCAGCATCCTGTTTCACACAGTGGTCAACCAGTTCCTCTGGAGGATCAACAACATGGCATGGAGACCGAAGCCTTCCCCTGATAAGAACACAAGAAGAGCCCTGCTGGATCAGACCAGTGGTCCATCTAGTCCAGCATCCCATCTCACACAGGGGCCACCCAGTTCCCCCGGACAGCCAACAACAGGGCATAGAAGCCAAGGCCTTCCCCTGATATTGCCTCCTGGTTCTGGGATTCGGAGGTAAGGGGGTGGGCTCTTACCTAGAGCTAGAGTACTTATCGCAAGTCCAGAAATGGCGACACCCAAGAGAAATCGGAACGCACAGTAGAGAGGGATAGTCGGGACGAAAGCGGCAGCGACTCCAAACACACCTTGTATGAGCCAGGACAACAGGATCATTGGCCGTCGTCCAAACCTGGGAGGACAAAATGCCTTTTATCTTCTCAACAGGTTAACAACAACTCTCTGTACCTGGGTGTGTGTGTGTGGGGGGGGAGGTACTTGTGAATCCCCTGCATTGTGTGAGGGGTTGATGACCAGGGGGGCCTCTTCCAACTCTATGATTCTACTAACCAGGGCTGACCCTGTTTAACGTGTGAGATCTGACGAGATCAGGCTAGCATCAGCACAGAATCATAGAGCTGGAAGGGTCTGTAGAGGTCATCTAGTCCAGCCCCCTGCTCAATGCAGGACCAGCCTAGAGCATCCCTGACAAGGGTTCGCCCAGCTGCTGCTTCAAGACCGCTGGTGAGGGGGAGCTCACCACCTCCCTAGGCAGCTGATTCCACTGTTGCACAACTCTTACTGTAAAACGTTTCCCCCTAATATCTAGCTGGTATCTCCCCGCCCTGAATTTATACCCATTCTTGCCAGTCCTCTCCTCTGCTGCCAACAGGAGCAGCTCCCTGCCCTCCTCTAAGGGACAGCCCTTCAAATACTTCAAGAGAGCATCTTTCTTACCAATCACTTAATGGACCACATCCCAGGGCTCCAAAGAGAAGGCCCATCATGTAAACGGACTGCGAGATATCACTTAAATCTTTCCTATCACACACCAGGTCAAACTAAAGAAAAGAGAAGAAAAATTAGAGGAATTTGAAAGGAATCTGGAGGTGGAGAGGAGCGGTTTCACAGTTCAGCTCACAACAGTATATATTGAAGAAAAGAAGAGATTGGATTTACAGCCCGCCCTTCACTTAAGAGTCTCAGAGCGACTGACAATCTCGTTTCCCTCCCCCTCCTCACAACAGACACCCTGTGAGGTAGGTGGGATTGAGAGAACTCTGAAAGAACTGCTCTTGAGAGAACAGCTCCGAGAGAACTTGTGACTGACCCAAAGTCACACCAAGTGGCTGTACGTGGAGGAGTAGGGAATCAAACCCAGTTCTCCCCGAGTCCACGCTCCTAACCACTACACCAACAACCGAGCTACAAATCGGGAACTCTTGAGTTCAAATTTGACCATCTATGCACTCAGTAGTGGTCTTCATCAAGTCTCTCTCTCATATACGGAACCGCCATCTACTGAATCAGGCTCTTGGTCCACCAAGGTCAGTGTCATCTGCTCAGACTGTCAGCGGCTCTCCGGGCTCTCAAGAAGTTCTTCCACATGTGGCAAGATGATATAGCAGAAAACCTTACAGACGAAATGTGGGAAAGTTTATGGAACTCATCTAGTTTTAGAACAAGGGTAATATCCATCCGACTGCAGAATCTCAAAATAATGTCAAGGTGGTATATCACTCCACTCAAACTGTCCCATATTACACCAACTCAGTCTCCACTGTGTTGGAAAGAATGCAACCAGGTTGGAAACTACACGCATTGTTGGTGGCAATGTGATAAAATTAAGAACTTCTGGCTAGAAATACTGTCCATAATTTATGAAATAACCTCCGTTCAGATTCCACTAAAACTGAAAATTTTGTTTTGAAATATTTGGACTGAAAATCTAAATACCAGGGTACATAAACTCACTATAGACGTCATGCTTGACGCGGCCAAAACAGCCATTGCATCACATTGGAAGGAGAAAACGGCACCTAGTTTAGAAATATGGTACAAGAAACTTTGGAGTCATTACTTAATGGATGCGGTATCTAACAAACTGAATTGCAGGTCACAAAATCCCTCGAAATCTAATTTCACAGAAAAATGGTTCCCAGTGCTTGATCACCTTTAGGTTCAGCCGCTCTTCTTCGGTCAGGTTGAAGCCAACCCCGGCAAGCCAGCTGGTGTTGCAGTAATGAGGCTCGTGGGCGACCATGAATAACTGGCTGAACATGTGGAAGCCGATACTAGGGCAGGACAGAGTGATCAATAGCACCAGCCCAAACTGGAACCGCCCAAACTCATTCAGTGATTTGAGGATTTCCCCTACGTCCGTCATTGTCTTGTCTCTTTCCAGCCTCCCAGTGATGGTTCCCTTCCGCTCCGAAAGACTTTTCACTCAGTGTCCAGAATTAATATTTAAGCCCAAGATAAACTTTCCGATGGCATTGGGCATCTAGAAGGGGTGGACAGTCATCGGCACTTCTAATGGGTCAGTTTTGCAACATCGCCAGGTAACCTCTTAACTGGCTTTGTTCCAGAGTGGTAAACAAGGCCAGGGCCAGCAGGTATTGGCCTCAGTTTTGGAAGACTTCTGTCTACTAGGCATTAGGAAATGAAGCCTCTCGTTTAATTAGGGAGTGTGAGCTAGCTCAGTTTTTTAGCCTCTTTCCAGTCCTGAAACTCCAAAGGACTGGAATTCGTAGCGTTGTTTCTCGGCTCCGATAGCTCCAACTGGTAGTCCTCTGACTGCTTCTGCTTCTACGGTGGTGCTCCTGCGATTGTCCCGGGATTTACAGTCCCCTTTGTTCTCATCCCCTTTAGGTACTGAATGGGTCGGGGTCGCCTACCGTCCGCACACGGTCATTGTCACCCACGTGGGCTTCGCCGTGGGGCAGATGATCCTGGCCGGCTTAGCCTACGCTATCCGTGACTGGAGGCTGCTGCAGGTGGCTGGGTCGGCCCCCGTATTCGCCCTCTTTGAAAAAAATCGGGGGGATGTTTAAATCCCCCCGAAAGTGCCAGAGCGTTCTGGGCGCATGTGCACGGAACGCTCTGTGGCTGGCCTTGCCGCCGCCGAGCCCGGCAAAGGGGGGGGGAGGACCGGCCTCGCCGCCGCCGCCTCGGGGAGATCGAGCGGGGGGGATGGAGGAGACTGAGCTCTTCTCTCCCCCCCCGCGAGTATCACGGGTCCCCCTCTTGTGTTACCTATTTTCGGTTATAGTTTGTCTATAGTAATTATGGAATATAAGATATGTTAATATCTTAAGAATCACTTAAGAATCAATACATTGCTATGGCGAGATTTAAAGTTAAATGTAGTAATCTTTTTGCGCTGAATGCTTATCTGAAATGGTCCATTTAATCCCTTTTTATCCCTGAACACCTGATCGATGTAACTGTAAAAGGTATATTGAGATTGGGAGAAAATGTATTTTTGAATGTTTTATATTTGACATAGCATCTTAAATACTATAGGTTTATTAAATTTTTTGTTGCTATATGCTTATTTTCGATCATCCTTGCAATATATAACTTAAATATTATTATCCTCCTTTCCTTATTTTCTTTCTGTATTCCTATCTTTTTCAAAAAAAATTGAAAAGTATTTGATGGGGAAAATGGCCACCACAGTGTTTTATGGAGCACACCACATGGCCTGAAGGAGATTAAGACTTCAAATTGCCATAAAGGGAGACACCACTGTGGGGAGAAATGCCTTCCACCCTAGAATTCACCCCCAATATTTCAATCATTGTGATGACACTCTGTGTGCGCTCCGGTATCTAGTTGCAAATTCATCGATGGCAGAAAGAAGGGGTTTGTTTTTTTTTGAAAAAATGAGCCATCAAGCTCCAAGCACAGAGCGCAGAAGGTTTTGGCGACGCTAATGACTCTGGCCGAAGTAGGACGATAGTTTATCACTCCATGCAGGGCCGGCCCCAGCTTATTTTGCACCCTAGGCGAGGATCCCTTCTGCCCCCCCCCCCGGTGCGCCCATTTTAGGAAGAATGAAAAACACAATCAAGAAACTCCCAGAGTACGGGGCCAGGTGCAGTTTGGCGCCCCTAAGGGCCACCCGCTCTAGGCGATCGCCTAGTTCACCTAGTGAGTGAGCCGGCCCTGACTCCGTGCCCTGCTGGAAGACGACACCCGTGGACAGAGATGGAAACTGCCAAACTGAAGATCGTAATGACCCCAAGGGGGTGAATTCTGCCAAGGCAGATTAGAAATTCTCAGGACATTGAGAAGAATCCCTCTCTTTCATCTTGCTTTTGACTTGGGAGCACAAGTCATAAACAGGACTGGATTTTCACCTAGGGACAGGCGCTTTTCTGCATGATTGACTTAACTCCCGATTCTCTTGGCAGTTGATCCACAAGCATTGGAATTAGTTTGGGCAGGGTTCTTCTGCGCGTCTGCCCTCTGTCTGCATTTTCACAGTTACGGCGTCAGTTTATTCTCTTCGGCAAGCGCCTTCAATAATCAGGATTTTCAAAGGAGGGCGCTGTTGTAATGGATGGCACAACAGCACCACCTCTTAATTTTTTTTGTGCATGCTTATATTTATTTATTTTATTATTGGATTTGTACCCCGTCCTCTCAGGCCAGAGCCAGCTCAGGGCGGCTTACGCAAAGAATAAAACACACAATAGACAAGTTTAAATAATCCTAAAATCATCCATATATTGATGCCATAGCTGCATTATTAAAGGCACTAAAGGATCAATATACCATTGTACTGATAGGTCAGTATAAAAGAATAGATTCTTTTGAACTATGGTGCTGGAGAAGACTCTTGAGAGTCCCTTGGACTGCAAGAAGATCAAATCAGTCAATCCTAAAAGAAATCAACCCTGACTGTTCCCTGGAAGGCCAGATAATGAAGCTGAAGCTCAAATACTTTGGCCACCCAATGAGAAGGGAGCCCTCACTGGAGAAGACCCTGATTCTGGGAAAGATTGAAGGTCAAAGAAGACGGGGACGGCAAAGGATGAGATGGTTAGACAGTGTCATAGATGCAACGAACATGAAATTGAGCAAACTTCAGAGGACAGCGGAAGACAGGAGGGCCTGGCGGGATCTGGTCCATGGGGTCATGAAGAGTCGGACCCAACTGTGCGACTGAACAACAACAACAAACAACAACTGATAGGTCAAGGAGGTTCTCTGAATTCTCAGCGCTCACTAAAAAGAAGAAAGTCTCTAGCTTTTGCCCTTGCAGGGATATAATGGGAAAGGCGTATCTCTGCAAGGGAACGGCCTAAAATCATAAGAGTCAGAAAGGACTCCAGGGTCATCTAGTCCAACCCCCTGCAGAATGCAGAAAATTCAGAAATACCTCCACCCATACATACACCCCAGTGACCCCTCTTCCATGCCCAGCCTAGAGACTTTTTTTTGAAAAATAAAACCTGGGCACTTGGAGCACCTGCTGACCTATCATTACAATGATATTTTAGTGCCTTTTAAAAAATCAAAAATGAAACCACTCAACTTCAGGGCAGGGGAGGGAGGAGAGGGAATGGTTCGATGACGACGTCTAATAATTGAAAAGGGGGCTGGAGGTCGGTGGGAGTGGGCAGGACAAGGAAGCCAACAGAAACTTCTTCATCCAAAGAGTGATGAACACATGGAATTCACTGCCACAGGAGGTGGCGGCAGCTACAAGCATGGACAGCTTCAAGAGGGAATCGGATAAACATCTGGAGCAGAGGTCCATCAGTGGCTCTTAGCCACAAGGTATAGACAGGAACTCTCAGTCTAGGGCAAGTGCTGCTTTGTATTCTTGGTGCCGGGGGGGGGGGCAACAGTGGGAGGGCTTCTAGTGTCCTGGCCCCGCTGCTGGACCTCCTGAAGGCCCCTGGTATTTTTGGCCACTGTGTGACAGTGTTGGCCTGATCCAACATTGGCTTCTCTTATGCTCTTATGAAACAATACACCCGAGGAAAAAGGCGATTCAAAATCAGCTTCCAGAAAAAGACTGGGGTAAAAAGTGGTCTCAAACCAACTGGAAAATGGGGGAAAGAAGTGAAACAACTGGGGGAACGAAGCAAAAACTAAAGGTGCAAAAACACCTTTGCAGGAATTAGAAAAATAGATTGGATTTATACCCCGCCCTTCACTCAGAGTCTCAAAGCGGCTTACAATCTCCTTTCTCTTCCCCTCCCCACCACAGACACCCCGTGAGGTAGGTGGGGCCGAGAGAGGTCTCTCGAGAACTGCCCTTGAGAGAACAGCTCTGAGAGAACTTGTGACTAACCCAAGGTCACATGAGCAGCTGCATGAGGAGGAGTGGGGAATCAAACCCAATTCTCCCAGATTAGAGTCTGCGCTCCTAACCACTACACCAGACTGAAACAGTACAGGGCCAGAACCAACAACAAACAAAAAAATGCAGAAAGCCCTAGGAAGGAAAGGGTAAGAAGGCTATGATTTCTAGCCTACTGGCAGCAGCAAGGCCAGCCATTGCTTCCAAATGGAAAGCCAAAAAAGCACCGAATATCGAACTATGGTTCGATAAACTATGGACACAATTTGTGATGGGAAAGATCGCTGATGGTCTAAACCCCCCCAATCCTGTGAAATGAACACCACCTTTGTAGTTACCTGGCTCCCAATACTGCACTATCTAGCCGAGAATGAGATTGTTCCATCTAATGTACACTGTCAGGACTGGATTCACTTCTGAGTGTTTGGTTGTTAACGGTCTCTTGAGGCGGTTACGATCTGGTTTAATGCCCTTCATAGTACGAATATGTCACCTACCGTCCTATCGCCATACATGCGCTATTTCTTCTTTCCTTTTCCTGTTTTTTCGTGACGATGCATGTGTTTTTGCATTATATTTAATTAATTTTATTAAAATAGAAGGAAATGCTGGAACACGAAGAACAGGAGATTGGGTTTATACCCCACCCATCACTCGGAGTCTCAGAGTGGCTTACAATCTCCTTTCCCTTCCCCTCCCCACAACAGACACCCTGTGAGGTAGGTGGGGCTGAGAGAGCTCTTTCAAGAACTGCTCTTTCAAGAACAGCTCTGACAGGACTATGGCTTGCCCAAGGTCATCCAGCAGCTGCGATTGGAGGAGTGGGGAATCAAATCTGGTTCTCCCCGATCAGAGACCGTGCACTTAACCACTACACCAAACTGGCTCTCAGAAGCTATGTTTATTCATTATACACCCACGAAGCTACCTTTACAAACATCTCCGCCCACTGAGCCATGGAGATGCCCTGTTTTTTTTGAAAGTGCAACCTTCCTAACCCCTCCAGCAGCAGTCACGTGTTGGACTTGAACCGGCTTCTGTCAGGCGGCTGGAACTTTCCATGTGCC